AAGGCAGCGGCAGCAGGCCGTGGTGGGTGAGGGAAGCAAGGCACCTGGGCACGGCAGGACCATAGATCCAGTGCCTTGTTGTGGCCAAGGCACAGCGTACCTTGCCCCCTCCCATCCACCGTTGGAATTGATTCAGCGGACAGCAGTAGTTCACAGCCAATCAACAAAAACAGGGGAAAATTCTCGAGCGGGACAGGGGAAACGGCGCGCGGGCTGGGAGAAAACTGCGCGGGCAAGCCATCCCCGCCGCTCGCCCGCCCCGCCGCCGCCGCATCTCGCCCACCCCGTCGCCACATCTCGCCGGCCTTACCGCTGCTTGCCAGCCGCCGCTGCATCTCGCCCGCCCCGCCGCCCCCGCCATTCGCCCGCCCGCCGCTGGAAAGGGAGTGGATCGAGCTCCGGCGGCTGCCGCTGAAGAAAACGGCGCCGGCAGGTTCCTCCTCCGCCACTACAGGCTACTCCACCCCACCCCTCTGACGGCTCCCTCCGCCCCCCTGCGACCCCTCCTCGAGCAGTGTCCATTAAGCAAGCTCCAGGTCGACTCCAGCAGGTAGCCACTTTGCTATTTAGCATTTTTTTAATGTGCTCTGGCAAACTGAGTGACATATGTACTGTCCTATTTGATAGAATTGTTGCTTATTGGGCTTGCGGTGCTGTGCAATTTGGCAAGATTTGAGTGTTGTCAGTGTTGTGCAATGGGAGAAATTGGCAATGGAATACCTCAAGTTGGTATGAGGTTCAGAAATGCAGATGAAGCTTGGATGTTTTGGGTTGCATATGGGGGCCGTGCAGGGTTTGATGTGAGGAAGAGAAACAAAAATGTAAGCAAGTGTGATGGTGAAGTGACTTCATGCAGATTTGTTTGTTCAAATGAGGGTATTCAAAAGAAAGGGATGACATTGGATCATGTGCCAAAGCGTATTAGAGCTGAAACAAGAATGGATTGCAAAGCTCGGATGACTATAACATTGGATCGAGTGCCAAAAAATTATGAAGTCACGGATATTGTGCTAGAACACAATCATTACCTTCAATTTCCACAAACTTGTCACTTGATGGCATCACAAAGGAAGAATACCGAAGTACAAGCTTTTGAAATAGAAGTCGCTGATGATTCTAGAATCATGCCAAAAGCTGCACATGAGCTTGCTTGTCGTCAAGTTGGTGGACCACTTAACCTCGGTTACACTTGTGTTGACCAAAAGAATCATTTGCGAAGCAAGCAGCAGAGAGAGTTGGCTTTTGGACAGGCCGGTAGTATGTTGAAGTACTTCCATGACAAAATCATTGAGAGCCCATCTTTCCAATATGCTTTGCAGTTGGACTGTGAGGAGCATATAACAAACATATTCTGGAATGATGCAAAAATGGTTCTTGACTATGCACACTTTGACGATGTTGTCACATTCGATACTACTTTTAGCACAAACAAAGAATATAGGCCATTTGGTATTTTTCTTGGACTCAATCAGTTTAGAGAAACCACCATTTTTGGTGCTGCATTGCTATTTGATGAAACATGTGACTCATTTACATGGCTTTTTGAGACCTTTCTAGCTGCACATAATGGGAGGCAGCCTAGAACTATTTATGCGAATCAAGATGCAACAATGGGGAAAGCTATAGGGAAAGTCTTCACAGAATCCTACCATGGATTGTGCACTTTTCATATAATGCAAAATGCTGTCAAGCATTTATCTCCATTGAAGAGTGAAGGAAAAGATGAAGGGAAAGAGAAAGATGAAGGGGCAGAAAAAGATGATGGGAAAGATGAAGATGAAGATGAGGAGTCTCATATTCTCACTGATTTTAGTGAATGTATGTATGGCTATGAGGACAAAACAGAATTTCAAGAAGCATTTGACAATTTGAGGCATAAAGTGCATAAGTAAACTTGGTTAGATAGTATCTACAAGTTGAAAGAAAAATGGGTTGTATGTTCTATGAGAGATGTGTTTAGTTTGGGAGTGAGAAGTACACAACTTAGTGAGAGCTTCAACAATTCATTGAAAAACCATTTGAAATCAGATTTTCATATTGTTCGGTTCTTGATGCACTTTGAGAGGACAGTGGAAGTAAAACGAAGAAAGGAATTGCAATCTGAATTTGATGCAAGGAAGAAGTTGCCAAGAATCAAGATGCACACACCTATGTTGGTGCTAGCAAGCAAAGAGTACACTCCAATTATTTTTGAAGCTTTTCAAAGCGAATATGAAAGATCGATGGTTGCATGCACTAGAGCATTGGATGGACATAACAAGTTCGCAGCTGCTATTGGGAGTTTGCATGGTGATTTAAAATTCGAGGAGGAGCGCATAGTGATTGGTGATCCTCTAACCCAAACAGTTTCATGTAGTTGTGGAATGTTCAATAGGACGGGAATACTGTGTGGACATGATCTCAAAGTGCTTGATTTGATTAATATAAAAGTATTGCCAGCACATTATATCTTAAAGAGATGGACTAGAGAAGCACGCAATGGAAGCATACAAGATAGACAAGGAAGGAATGTGATAGAAAATCAAAAGTTGGAAGCCCAACTTCGGTACAAAATAGCCTACTCTCTAGAATGTTGTTTGATGTTAGAAAATGCACTTGATTTCATTAGTCCACAACTAGAGGATAAACTCAATGCAACTACCAATGCGCCAAATAAGCCATGCAATGACAAAGAAAATGTTGACCCAAATATGCAACAAACAAATGAGGTTCTTAGTGTTGCAAAGCTCAAGAAATAAGAGGTGCAATCAAAAAGATTGGGGAGAAGAAAAACTTGGCTTAATAAGTTACTCAAAAGGAAGCGCAAGCCAACTAAAGTTGCTCCATCCAAAAACCAAAAAGAAAAGGTATGTACCAATATGTACATGATGAGTTGTTACCATTCATTCCTAAACTTACTAGAAGTTTATTGCAGCAACACAAGAAACATGATGGTGCAGATCCTCAAGTAGGAGTGGAGAAGGATGGGCGCGATAAAGGTGAAAATATGGAGTTTCAAGAGTGCAACAAGATAATGAGTTACATGCAGCTCTTGACAACTACCCGTTATGATGAAAATCTATTCTAGCATGTACAAGCTTGTTAGATAGTATTTTGGGCGGGGTCGACTGTATTTTGGACAGGGTTGACTATAGTATTTTGGACTTGTGGGCTAACTATAGTCTTTTGTGGCCTATGTGTACTAGTAAAAGGGCCAACTCTATGTACTTGAATGATTATGTAAGGACAAACTTATGTCAAGTGCTTTAAAAATTAGTTTGTTTAGACCTGCAAAAGAACATGTATTGTGTTCAACTTTTTGCTGTTGTGTTGTGCTAAAACTTCTAGTAAGTTTAGGAAGTTGTATCTATATTGAAGTGTTGGGACGTACTCCTTTTTTGTATTGAAGTGTTGAGATGTACTCCTTTTTTGTTGAAGTTTGCTAAACTGAACTGTACTGTATTGTGTTAACTGAACCAATGCTCTGCTTTATTCTCTGTCTGAAGAAACTGCGCTCTGTTTTATGTTGTTTTGTCCACTCATTCAGTTTCTTTTGGCTGTGAATTGCTGCTGGCCGCTGGATCAATTCCAATGGTGGATGAGAGGGGGCAAGGTATGCTGTGCCTTGGCCACAGCAAGGCACTGGATCTCAGTCCGGCACGGCAGCCTCGGCGCAGAGAGCAACAGCAGCACAGGGCAATGGCCGCTGCGGGCGACGCAAACAACAGCAGCTGGGCGCAGGAGGGCGTCGGGCGCGGCGGACGCACGCGCGAGGTAAGGCCAGAGCGCGGCCAGGGAGCCCAAGGCAAGCAGGAACGCGTCCACGGGCACGGCGACTGCGAGCTCGCTCGGAGCTCGGGCGCGGCATCTAGCGACGAGGAACGAGAGCGGGGGAGCGGGGAATCGGCGCGGGTGCTCACAGCGGGGTGGCAGAGTAGACTAGCGGGCTCGGGGGAGGCTCGGTGCAGCGGAACGACGGCGGCGGCCTTCGGTGCCCGGAGGTGGAAGAAGAGGGCAGGCTCGACGATGGAGGGGGTCCCAGCTCCCGCTAGTGGGCGTGGACGACCAAGTCGGTGGTGGTGGAGCTCTGGGACGCGTCGGAGAGGGACGGGATGCTGGTCGCCGCGGCGGAGCGAGATGCACGGCGATGACGAGGCACGACCGGG